AGATTTACTGAACGCATAATGAAAGGGGACTCGTGTAAATCCAGCAAAACGCTTAATCCTTTGTTATCCCTCGCGCGGTAACCCAAAACACTTTTAATATTCTAACACCTAATATGGTTTGAAGTGTCGCAAAAATGTGCGTCCTCAGTTTGGAAATAAGGAGGATAGTCTCGAGATTAGTGAAATGTTCCACCATACGATTGGTATAAGTAATATATATTCATCCACATTAAACCAATATTCCGAGGAATTTTTTGGTTAGGAAATGGTCAAATGACGCCAAACCAGCTACATATTTATTTTATCTAAAGTGTAAAGCTTTAACAATATATCGATGTACCATGAGAACTTAGTATAAGAATGTAATTTGCAAAAAAAGCTGAAGAATGTTTAGACATCCTATTTGCATGATAAAACCATCGTACTCAAATTCTAGGTGAAATATTGTAAGAGGTTAAGAAATATTTTAATAGAGAGATGAAGTGATGAAAAATAGGAAGAAATAAAGATATCGTATACATATATTGACCTGAAATGTTAATTCCAGCTCAATAATAACTCTAAGCTCACATATCTCCTAAATAATCATCTATCACCGTTCCTGTAGCGTAATCTGCGAGCGAACATGTTTCTAAGTATTCCGAGAAATGCGGTGTAGCTTGCTCACTGATGTCACATCCGTTTCTCATAACAGATATCGAGAGAACATAATGATATGTGAACCGTTCCTTTGGGTGCCGCTACCGCCAGGACTTTCCTTTTACTTTCGATGCTACTTAACGACAAGGATGAAGAAAAAAAACTTTGATTGAATACTCGTCCATTCGTTGCGTAATATGGAATGATGCTGCTTACAGCTCAGCTGCCATTTTTTGGTTTAGACTCGCTGTTTTGATGTGAAGCATCGTGATCAGGAATTAGTCAATCTATTAAAGCTCCTTTCGTTAGAACTTGAGGCTTGCAAAACTCGTATCTCAGAAAGAATTTTATAACCATCTGTTGCAGTGTCGTTGTAGAGTCTACAACAATAAACTAAAAGCTGCACCCAGTCATCAAGAATGTTCTTACATCAATATGCATGGGTTTGCATTCATGCACAGTTCATACTAATTTGAACGGAAAACACAGCTCTCGGCATAGTTTAAATGTAAAATAGGATAACTCAGAGTAAATCACTGCGGTGTTGTTTGTTGCTCTTGCTTACTTCTTCAGGCTTCACATGTCAGAATATATACTAAATGTCAAGATTCTTTAACAAACATCAAAGTATTTTTTTGTACAGTACACTAATCCACTCGTTTGCAAAGGCTCTTTATATTAGCTTTCTTAAGCAAAATGTTTCTGACTTTTGAACAAGCCTTCTTTGAGAGGACACTTCAACATGCTTTGTCTGATGAATCAGTCCAGAAGATGTTTTTGTTCGCACTTTATTCCTTGTATGCGCTTATTATCTCATGCACAGGATCCAGCCTTACACGTTGCTGGCTGTCTTCTTATCACAATACTTTGACAACTATTTTCCAAACGAAATATTTATCAGACGTTGTTTAACAAAACTTATTCAGTCCAAAAATGTTTTATAGCATTTTTGTTGTTACCTACTGACAACGCATCTCAGACATTACTCATGTGTTGCAGAAAGGTGAACCATGCCCAAAACGGAAAATGGCGAAGAGAAATCGCCGACTCCTCCGCTCAACGCTAGAGGTCTTTTCGAAACTTACGAAAAGGACGGCAAGAAAATTACTGAAATACTCAGGTACTTCTTTAGGCAAACATGACAAGTGAAAAGTTACATTTGGTCTCTAGGTTCAATGCAGTTGAGGTGTTTTTCGCCGGTTTCCTCCCTCCTCTAATTGGTTCGGTTTCGGCTATTGCCATAGCTCTAATATTCCATAACGACGAGATCAGCAACTATAATTGGCAGTGTGGTGTGAGTCTTTGCTTTTTAGCATTTGCATCTTACAAAAAACACTTTTTCAGCGCGCTCGCCTACCATCACTTTCGCGGATAATCAATCTTTCTGTTGAAAGAACATTCTGGCAGCTTTTCCTCCTTTTTCACGTGCCCATCCGAGTTATAGAACTCATCACAGGCTGTGCGTGGTGCGAAAAAACTTCTCTAGCAGTCTTCACAGTGTTTTTGTTTCAGTTTCACGATATAAAAGGCTACGTAATATTCACTACAAGCACACGTGGTTATACGAGATTTCTCGATACGTCTATTTTTACATTGGGCTGGCCGAGCTGCTCTTTCTTGCGGCTTTATCCATCATTGGAGAACGTGAGAATATCCGTGAGTTCCTATTCAGTTTCTATCTATGAATTTGTAAGAGTATTTATTGTGTTCAAACATTCAAACAAACGTGCACACCCATAAGAATAGAAATGTTGTTGTCGGCTTATTCGTGCGCTTCTTTCAACATAAGGAAATTTCAGAAAATCAAGAATTTTGGCAGCTTGATAGAAACTATTTGAGTTGTAGCTTTGAAAAAAGATTTATTTAGTCTCTTGATATAGTTTTAGTTTGTTAGAACTCATTGTCCCGACATCCCTTTCTCTTTGTAGTCCCAAAGCTCACGTTTTGCGGGCGGCAACTTTGGTTGCTGAGGTTTTCTGACATGCTATTAATATCATGTTGCGCATGAAGAGTCCTCTCTACGACTATGTCATGTGATAATGCACTCAACATACGTATTGAAAAGGTTCCTTCACGGAAAGCTGGAGGCGTTGGATTTGTCGTACATCCATGTGCTGTCCACATTGTCCTTCGCATGAAGTCCTATCACTTCGCTTGGCCTTCCTTCGACTCCGTCTTCTCCATCAAAAAACCATCACTATCATCAAATGCTATTCTCCAACATCAGCAGCTGATGAATCGGAGCTGTATGCTTATTCCTAACGGAGGATGTAGAGGAAGCCATTCACAAAGAGTATCTCCTATAAAATCGTGGTGGATGACTATAATGTGAATCCGCGCCGGAAAATAGTACAGGATTGGGAAATAGATCAGGACTCCGAATTGCAAAGTGAACGTTTGTTGGGTCTTATCTGTCGCACAGTTTTTGCTTGAAAACTCTTTTTTCACGAAACATCTGCACTAGACGTGGAAGCCCTTCTAATACGACTTGCTCGGAAATCTACCACGTTCTCACTAACCGGGGGTAGCGCTTACTAGGCATTTCAGTTGTATTATCCTTCTGAAATGGATGGTTTGAATCGCCGTCTTCTTTGAGCGAAAGAATTAGTCGAAAGCTGGGAAAGAAGATCTGTCACCGTGTTAAGGAGAGAAGTCGTACATAACGGCATCAAGTTGGAAGAGCTCGACCACATCTCAATGCATCACTGAGGAGTTACAAGGGTGTACGATCTTCTTAGAATACAAAGCCTGCAGTGAAAGCGCCTCGCCTCCCAACGAGAAGAACCTGGAAAGTACTTTGAAAGCTATCAAGGGTTTACTAGGGAGGACGAGAGCATTGTTGCTGTATCCAACTGCATTACATCCTTAATGGGAATACATGCAATCGAAGCTTCTAGAAGCAGCGGGAGAAAAGAGAAGCCTAAGGAAATAAATGGGGATAGTAATTTAGTAGTAAGTTACTGTTAACTGCTGATAATATAACTAAGCAAAGGCGGACCAAGCAATTTTTTCGATGGAATCTACGATTTACGAATAGATTCTATACCAACCTCTTCTGTCCATCAACTTACTTCAGCAGGTAGAACCTGTGGCCAACCCCGCTATTTTCATTGTGGAAGAGTAACCACAGCTTCTACCTGCTGAAGTAAGCTTCCCAATTCAGACCATAGTTTCTATGCCTTCGGACTTACTGTCCATCATTCCTATTGAGAGCGCTTTTCAAGCCCTTCGCGAAGGTTTTCTCACCCCAACCAAAAAATTAAGAAAATTTCAAAAACTTTCCATATTTTCTAGCTATGGTCTTATATCTGCACGCAAAACCGCTTATACCTGTAGTGCAAAAATTCGCAGGTTGTCGCAACGTTGCTGTATACGATATGTTATAGAAGGAAAGTCCTCGAGATCATTTGACATGAAGAATCATAGTAATGAAGAGATTTCTTTCAGAATTTTGGCTATCTGATGCTCTCTTGTTTAGCAGCATAAATATAAACTCGACGATTAGAGCTGAGAAACGAAAAAGGTAGAATGATGGATATAATTAAATGTGCTATACTAGCTTATCGTACATGATATTGATACTTTTACTCACAGGGGTGCGTCAGGCAGCCATGAAAGTTTAAAAGGGACTGATGCTAGGTTACTGTGTAAATCATTAGACGCAGTCTAACTGATTCCCAATCTCCACTATCTGGAAACTGTACAGGTCTTTCAAAAATAAAGCTACTATTAGTACATGATTAACTCTGTTATTTCTTAATCTTTTTGGGATCTAGTAATTTCACTTATGAGTGGATCTCTTCGTCATTATGGTAGGTTACGGCATAAAATTGTGAGTGTTGTTCCGGTAAAAGTACTGGTGTTGGGACGAAGATAAATCCAAAAACGCTGGGATTTTTTTGCTTGGGTCACTTCGTACATCGGTTCCAAAAAGTTCACTATTTGATACTGCAAAGAACGATATATCTATAACTTTATATCAAAGTCATGGCAATTATATCGGCCCGACAGCAGTATTAAAGCCACGGACAACGTGACTATGACCGCCGTAGCTAATGTCAGTATGCAGAGCTTTCGCTTAAGACAATAGTGCAAAAGTTCATGTTGAGCAATCTAGCAAAAGGAAAAGCTTTCATAATTTCTCGACAAACGTTTCGCGGATATGGAGTAGAAAACTGAGATCAAAATTGGACCCGCATATAGTAACATAAATTCACTATACATGGCCACACCAACCTAACAACATTTCTTTGTTAGTTAAGTTTTTTGCTCCGACGAAGGCATGTTACAGGATAAAGTTATG